TTTTTTTTTTAATTTTTTGCCAGTCCTGGAGCTTGAACTCGGACTGGGCACTGTTCCTGAGCTTCTTTTGCTCAAAGCTAGCATTCTACTACTTGAGACACAGTGCCACTTCCAGCTTTTTCTGTTTATGTGGTACTGAGGAATCAAACCCAGGGCTTCACACATGCTAGGCGAACACAGTAAGCCACATCCCAGCCCAGGATTACCAGCTTTTTACTGAGTACCTACTATTGCCATGTGTGGTGATTTTTTTTTACCCAAGAGGAAAATCCTACATGCTAAGGGCTTGTAGCAGATGAGCAGCAAAACTGACTAGCTCTTGCCCAGTGCCCCTTCTATGATGTGTTTTGTGTCATGAGCCCTCAACTACCTGCCATTTAGTATCTAGCTGCTCCTGCATGCCAAGCTCTGTCCCTGGAGATAGGTGAGAGAGTGAGAGCATTTAGACTTGACAATCCAGTCCATATGTCTTGATGAGGAATCAATTTACCAGAGACACACCACCTACAAAACCCGTGATGCTCTGCTTGAGGACGCACAGGAAAGAGCACGAATCCAGGGCGGGGGTGTGGCTCAGTTAAGAGTGTACTTGCCTAGTATCCACAGGACCCTGAATCTGACCACCAGCATAAAAATAAAAAGCATGATGGGCTAGGAATGTTGCTTAGTGGTAGAGTGCTTGCCTAGTGTGCATGAAGCCCGGGGTTCAACTCCTCAGTACCACATACACAGAAAAAGCCAGAAGTAGAACTGTGCATTACCTGGTAGAGAGCTGGCCTTGAGCAAATGAAGCTCAGGGACAGTGCCCAGGCCCTGAGTTCAAGCCTCAGGACTGGCAAAAAAAAAAAAGCATGAGTCAGTATGAAGGTATATGCCTGTAATTCCAACATTTGTGAGGCTGAGGCAAGAGGATCTAATATGAACCACCAGCTAAGTGCTACTCAATTCTAGCTACTCAAAAGGCTGAGGCATGGAGGATCAAAGTTTAAGCCAGTTTGGGCAGAGAAGTCTTTGAGACTCCATCTCTACTTAACCAGCAAAAAAGCCAAAACTAGTTGGCTGTTGGCTTATACCTGTAATTCTAGCTATTCAGGAGGCTGAAATCTGAGGATCATGGTTTCAAAGCCAGCCCAGGCAGGAAAGTCCATGAAACTCTCCCAATTAATCACAGGAAGAGCTGGAAGTAGAGTTGTGGCTCAAGTGGTAGAGCACTAGCCTTGAGTAAATAGAACTCAAAGACAGCTCCCAGGCCTTAAGTTCAAGGCCCAGGACCAGCACCCAAAAAGAAGCCAAACTGAAGGTGTGGCTCAAGTGGCAGAGCACCAGCCATGAACAAGAAAAATTAGTATAAGCTCTGAGTTTAAGCCCCAGTACCAAAAAAAATTGTTTTAAACTATGGATCCCTTTCCTAGCTACACATGGGAGGTAGGCATAGGAGGATCATGGAGAGAGTGGGTAAAAAGTGAAAGAACCTGAAATACCAAAGAACAAAGGGTTATAAATGTGGCTCAAGTGGTAGTGTAGTTGTCAAGACCCTGAGTTCAAACCCAACTTCTGGCAAAAAAATAAAATAAAAAAAACCTCATCATAGCTCTGCCTGTTTATTTCTATCTGGTTCCATCACTCTGACACTGTTTCCTATCTATAAAATAGGACAGTACAGTTTCTATTCTATAGAGCTCTTTTTTTTTGTCGGTCGTGGGGCTTGAACTCTGGGTTTGGGCACTATCCCTGAGCTTTTCAGCTCAAGGCAAGCACTCTACCACTTGAGCTACAGTGCCACTTCTGGTTTCCTAGTGGTTTATTGGAGATAAGAGTCTCACAGACTTTCCTGCCTGGGCTGGCTTTGAACCACGATCCTCAGATCTCAGCTTCCTTAGTAGCTAGGATTACAGGCGTGAGATACTGGCGCCCAGCCCTGTACAGCTCTTGTGAGAATTATATGTATTATGTTTACAACAGTACCTGGTCATAGTATAAGTGCTACTTAAATGTATTTTTTTTTCCAGTGGTGGTGGGAGTTAAACCTAAGGCCTCACACATAATGGGCAAGTGCTTTACCCCAGCCTCACTGTTTGCTTATGTGTGTGTACACACACACATGGGCATGCGCATACACACACATATGCACATATTAGTCCTGGAGCTTGAATTCAGGGCTGTCCTTGCTGAGCTGTTCCTGAGCTTTTTTTACTCAAGGCTAGCACTCTGCCACTTGAACCACAGCTCCACTTCTGGCTTTTTTGGTATTAATTGGAGATAAGAATCTCTTTTTTTTTTTTTTGCTCAGTCATGGGCCTGAACTCTGGGCCTGGGCACTGTCTCTCAGCTCTTCAGCTCAAGGCTAGCACTCTACTACTTAAGCCACAGCACCACTACGGCTTTTTTCTGCTTATGTGGTGCTGAGGAATCGAACCCAGGGTCCATGCATGCAAGGCAAACACTCTACCTCTGAGCCACCTTCCCATAAGATAAGAATCTATGTAAGCAGAGCACTGATGGCTCATACCTGTAATCCTACTCAGGAGGCTGAGATCTGAGGATCTTGGTTCAAAGCCAGCCCAAGCAGGAAAGGCCATAAGACTATCTTCAATAAACCACTCAGAAAATTGGAAGTGGCGCTGGGGCTCAAGTGATAGAGCTCTAGTGTGGAGCTGAAGAGCTGAAGGACAGCACCCAGGCCCAGAGTTCAAGCCCCACAACTGACAAAAAAAGAAAAAAAATCTTAGGGACTTTCCTTCCTGGTCTGGCTTCAAACTGTGATCCTCAGATCTCAACCTCCCAAATAGCAAGGTTGGCAGGCACGCCAACAACTGTATTTTGTTTTATTTTATTTCTTTTTTCTTTTCTTTTGTCGGTCATGGGGCTTGGGTGCTGTCCCTGTGCTCTTCAGCTCAAGGCAAGCACTCTACCACTTGAGCTACAGAGCCACGTCTGGTTTTCTAGTGGTTTATTGGAGATAAGAGTCTCATGAACTTTCCTGCCTGGGCTGGCTTTGAACCTTGATCCTCAGATCTCAGCCTCCTGAGTAGCTAGGATTACAAGTATGAGACACCAGCGCCTGGCTTGTATTTTATTTTCAACTTTTTTTTTTGCCTGTCCTGATGCTTGAACTCAGGGCCTGGGAGTTGTCCCTGAGCCTTTTTGTACACAAGGCTAGCACTCTACCACCCTTGACCTCTTTGTGTTCAAGACTAGCGCTCGACCACTTGAGCCACAGTACCACTTCTGGATTTTGAGTAGTTAATTGGAGATAAGAGTCTCACAGGGGCTGGGAAGATGGCTCAGTGGTAGAGTGCTTGCCTTGCATGCATGAGGCCCTGGGTTCAATTCCTCAGCACCACATAAGCAAAAAGAAAGAAAAAAAAAAGAGTCTCACAAGGACTTTTCTGCCTTGTCTGACTTCGAACCACGATCCTCAGATCTCAGCCTCCTGAGAAGATCAGTTAGGATTACAGGGGTGAGCCATCAGCACCCAGCTCAACCTTTTTTATTTTTTTTGTTGGCTGTGGGGCTTGAACTCTGGGACTGAGCTCTGTCCCTCAGCTCTTCAGCTCACGGCTAGCACTCTACCCCTTGAGCCACAGTGCCACTCCCTGTTTTCTGGTGGTTAATTGGAGAAAGAATTTCACTGCCTTTCCTGCCCAGGCTGGCTTTGAACCATGATCATCAGATCTCAGCCTCCTGAGTAGCTAGGATTACAGGTGTGAGCCACCAGTGCCCAGCCTTTTTTTTTTTTTTTTTCTCTTGATGATATAGGGGTTTGAACTCAGGGCCTTGTGCTTAAGTTACACCTCCAGCCACTAGTTTTCAAACTCTTTTTTTTTTTTTGGTCGGTCATGGGGCTTGAACTCTGGGCCTGGACGCTGTCCCTCAGCAATTCAGCTCCAGACTAGCATTCTACCACTTGAGTCACAGCACCACTTCCGGTTTTCTGGTGGTTAATTGGAGATAAGAGTCTCACAAACTTTCTTGTCTGGGCTGGCTTTGAACCACAATCCTCAGATCTCAGCCTCCTGAGTAGCTAGACTTACAGGTGTGAGCCCCCAGCACCGAGCTTAGTTTTCAAATTCTTTAACTGAGCTCATCTGAATTGGGGTAAGAGAGTAAGAGATAGTGGGATTGTAAGGGGATGTAGAAATTTCCAGCATATCCCTGTGGTTGGGGAAATTTTAGCAGTGTTTATCCTTAGTGCTGGCTCAGATGGAAGTGTCAAGCTATCTGAACAACTTAACTCTGGGTGTGTGTGAGCAGCTGAGTTGGGTGTCAGTATGTTCCACTTGAACTCATTTCCTCTTCCTCAAGTGGGAAGGTCAGTTTTAGGTCAGACTTGATACATAACATAATTTTTCATTAAGAGGCTTCTGTTTTCTAAATTCCTATCCAGCTAGACACTTGATTACTTGATGTGTAGCTTCTAAGTATGTCTGAGAGACTTCTAGTTCTCCATGACTCATTGGGCTGGTTTTGCTTCATGTGAGGCAGGAGTTTTACCTCTCAG